ATTTAAATAAAAAGTTTCCTGAGACCAAGTCTAGAACATTTTGCAAGATTTTCTTATTCTTTTCAGATATGCAATAAATCAAAAAAAAAAAAAAAAATGTAAACGCTCAAACTAAAAATAAATAAATTTGTTTACAAAAAAATTAATATTTTTTAAAATAAAATTTGTAATAGAAATTTAATTTAAAAAATTAAATACAATCGAAAGTAAAATTGCCCAAATATTATCAATAATATAAAATATATAATTATCCTTTCTTAATATAGAAATTATAAAAAATAGTTAAACCTACAAATTTATATATTTCAATGGTCAATAAAATTATTGTAATTATATTGTATTGTTAATTTATTTATATTTGATAAAATAATTAATAAATTAAAGTGAATAAAAAAATAATTAAATAGTTAATTTGCATAATTAGGGTCAACCGGGGTAAATCCGAACGCTTTTAGTAAGTTTCAACAATAACATAAGTTTTTTCTTTAAAAAAAAAATACTTCCGGTATTCTGGTGCATGAAGTTGTTACTTTACTTCCATAGAACAATTTTATGGGGTAGAAAAAATTTTTGATAAATTACAATCGCAGGAAACTTAGCGTTCGTATTTATCTCGATACTTTGCAACTTTCCTAAAATATGGGGGTAAATACGAACGCCACTGTATTTCAGAAAAATCTTAGGGAAAATAAATTTAAAGTATTGCAATTGTTAAACTTATATAAAAACTCAAAAAAAATACGATAATAAACCTATTATGTAATAATGCATCATATATAAATACAAAAATCAAACAGGTTAAAAATTAAAATGCATTACACAATTAAAACCTTCAATAACTTTATCAAATCATAACGGATTTTTGCAAAACTTGGTACAGAAAGTATTTTGGAGTGATTGAATGTAAATACAAAAATAAAAGTCAAATTTTTTAAATTCAAAATGGCGGACTTTCCTAAAACTTATTTTTAAAAATGATCAAATTTGCTAACCCTGAAACCCCCCGAGTAACAATTTTCGAGCGAATCCAATGAATTTTTTAATTCTCGTCCGCCATTTTGAATTTTGAAAAACTGACTTCAAATTGGTAATTAGCGACCCCAAAAACCGTAGAATACCAAATTTTATTAAGATCCTGAAAAACTTTTTTCAACAAACCATTTGGCAAAAAAATTGAAACACTCCTTCGAGAGAATAGAGATTAGGTTTCTGCTTATTAATTACTAACGAGGATACATATAGAAAGAAAAACTTTTTTCTATGTACTTTTATAATGTTAAAATAATAGTATAATAAAAAAAACAATTTTGTGTGGCTCTGATGTAAAAAAAAATTATTAAAAATACCGTTCGGATTTACCCCAGTTTTCCAATTTTCTTGGGTAAATACGAACGGTCTGATATTATTAATAAAATTTTACAGAAGGCAAAAATCAAATATAGTTTCTGTTCTAGTATTCATAACAAACAATTATAAATAATAAAATGAATTTTTAGCTTCTTTTTCTTCAAATACGAGACAAAATACTGAAAGAGTGTCATCTTTGATTTTCAATCTTTTTTGCAATACTTGTTATCTTTGTTTATGCTGTTGCTAATTAACAAACAAAAAATGGGATAATACTTAGAATCTCTTCAAGAGGATCTGAGGTAAAAATTCTCATATCGAACTTATTTTTAAAAATTTTAATTAAGCTGAAATAATTAGCGTTCGGATTTACCCCCCGTTCGGATTTACCCCGACTGACCCTATATACATTATAATTATTTTATAAACATTTTTATTTTTACTGAACAGTTTTTATATATTATAAAAATTTTAGTTTTATAATAAAGATATTTTTATATTTATTTTTTGATTTTTTAAAATAATAATTTGCAATATATATTATAAGAAAGAATAAAAATTCTTGATTTTAATATTGATTTTAATAGTGAAATAATAATTATTTGATAATAGTCAATAATCAATTATTTGAACCAAATAAATTTTTTTTTCAGTGTTGGGACATAATTTTTCTTTAACTACAAGAGTAATTTAAACAAATACTAGTCAGTCCAACCATTACTAGATATTAAAAATTCCCTTTTTATTGCTCTTTTTAAAAAAAGAAAATGTTTCAAAACTTTTCTTGTACGAGTATATATATATATATATATATATATATATATATAAAAAAGTCAAGACCCTTTTTAAAAGTCGAAAAAGTTATACGCAATGCTACTTTTAAAAGGTAAGTTTTGCGACACTTAAAACTTGAATAACATAATATTAAATTTCTAAAAGCTCTTTGGGGTCAGAATAATTTTATCCAAAAAAAAAAAAAGGAAATATTTTTTATTCGAAATAGAATTATTTAAACTAAAATTAAATTTAAAAAAGAAATTCAATTTAAATATCTATATTTTATAAAATAAATCACTAAAAATTTTCGAGAAATGAGTTTATTGGTGATATTCTTTTTTGTTGAAAATTATTTTTGGCTTGGTTTATATAATTTGTAGGAATATTAAGCGGTTTTAAGCGGAAAGAGAATGAAAATGGAAAGTAATTTGAAACTTTGAGGCTTGATTACGTCTAGCTCGACACATTTAAGCCTTCGCACAACTATATGGAACGAGGGGTTTTTGGATACTGCAGCGAAATCTCTGCCAAGAGATTCGCTTGGCGAGGCAAGAGAGTAGAAGGTCTTTTGTCTTTTCATCGACCGTACATGTATGTCATGCCAGTGACATAAAAGATACGAGAGACTACTGAATGTGATATACACGGTGTCTTTCCTGTCTCTGACATAAATACTCCCATTTTTTTTTTTTTTTTTTTTTTTTTGAATTGGCTTTCATCAAAAATGTACATCCCCTTTATTTTCCAAGTGTGAAGTTAAATTTCCTACACAGCAGTAATTTCTTTTGTTATTACTTTCTTTTTCGAAAAAAAAAAAAATTATTTCCAATATAAGAAAAATATGTATTTTTTAAGAATTGATGATTGATATTCGTTTTGGAAAGTTTTAGTTGTGCACTTTCATTTTGTGTGTAATTATACTTTCCGAGTTTAAAATCAAATGAATTGTATATATCTAGGCAAATGTGCACATATATATATACATTGCGTGACTGCGTGACACAAATTATCTTACTCTCACCTACGTACATTATCTGTATTGTTTTATCGCATTCAACTGCATTCGTGGCTAAATAATTGCTTTACGTTATAAAAATATGCAAGCAAAACAACTAACAACATGGGTATTTAATTGCATTGCTCGAATTTAATTGTCAAAACATGTTTTTCTTTTTTGAGTTGAATTTCCTTTGGTATTAGTTTTCTATTATTCTCACGAACAAAATTGTCATTTTATATCGTGAAAAATTTTTATTATTATAATAATCATAAGCTGGAAAAATTTATTTGATTTAAATAATTTTTTAATTGACATATTATCACAGTGTGTAGAAAAAATCTTATATTAAATAAATTGTATTCGAATCAAATAAATATTTATTTAAACTAAATAATTTTTAGTCCAACAAAACAAAATTTTATTTGAATCAAACTAGTTTTATTTGAATTAAATAAATTATGTATTTGAAACAAATAATTTTTATTTTAATTAAATATAAATTTTATTCGAAACAGATAAATATTTATTTAAATCTAATGAATATTTATTTAAACTAAATAATTTTTATTCGAACCAAATAAATATTTATTTGAATTAAATAATTTTTATTCGAACAAAATAAATTGTATTTGAAACAAATTATTTACATTTGAATTAAATAAATTGTATTTGAGCCAAATAGTTTTTATTGAAACCAAATAAATTGCATTCGAACCAAATAATTTTTTATTTGAACCAAATAAATTGCATTCGAACCAAATAAATATTTACTTCAACCAAATAAATGTTTCTTTGAACCAAATAATTATTATTTAAACCAAATAAATATTTTTCGAACCAAAATAATTTGTATTTAAACAAAATAAATTTTACTGGAACCGAACAATTTTTATTTAAATTAAATAAATTGTATTTGAACCAAACAGTTTTTATTCGAACAAAATAAATTGCATTTGAACCAAATAATTTTTTATTTGAACCAAATAAATTGCATTCGAACCAAATAAATATTTACTTTAACCAAATAAATATTTTTTTGAACCAAATAATTATTATTTAAATCAAATAAATATTTTTCGAACCAAAATAATTTTTATTTAAACAAAATAATTTGTACTGGAATCGAAAAATTTTTATTTAAATTAAATAAATTGTATTTGAACCAAACAGTTTTTATTCGAACAAAATAAATTGCATTTGAACCAAATAATTTTTAATTTGAATCAAATAAATTGCATTCGAACCAAATAAATATTTTTTTGAACCAAATAAATTGCATTCGAACCAAATAAATATTTACTTCAACCAAATAAATGTTTCTTTGAACCAAATAATTATTATTTAAATCAAATAAATATTTTTCGAACCAAAATAATTTTTATTTAAACAAAATAATTTGTACTGGAATCGAAAAATTTTTATTTAAATTAAATAAATTGTATTTGAACCAAACAGTTTTTATTCGAACAAAATAAATTGCATTTGAACCAAATAATTTTTAATTTGAATCAAATAAATTGCATTCGAACCAAATAAATATTTTTTTGAACCAAATAAATTGCATTCGAACCAAATAAATATTTACTTCAACCAAATAAATGTTTCTTTGAACCAAATAATTATTTATCTGAACCCAATAAATTTTATTCGTTTCCAATAAATTTTATTTGAATTCAATAAATTGTATCCGAAACCAATAATTTCTAAAACAAATGCCATATTTGACTCAAAAAATTTTTTTTTTTTTTTAAACGAATTTTTTTTTTCTTTTAACAATAGTCGATTATTTGTATAAAATAAATTTTTTCTTCAGTGTAAAAAAATTTTTATCATAACCATAATATATTTTCTAAAAACAAAAAATTGTGATTCCTACCTTAATGGAAAACTGCTTGCACAGTGGCTTGTAGGCGTTTGTTCCACACGTTAAAAAGCGATCAGGTCCTTGTCTGCCAAAGATCCTTATGTAATTTTGGCACTCGTCATCGCTTCTTCCTTTGACGCTACACAATTGCAGATGGGGTTGGATGCTGGACCACTCGAGCCTCTGCAAGAAAAAAAAAGAATAGAGGAAATTGAGAATGGGTTGCACTTTGGTATCAGTCGATTAAACTTCAAGGCTTGTGTATTGCAGTCGATAACAGAATCCGTCTTTCAAACGGGAATTTCAAAAAGCGCTTTTGCTTAGACGTTGGGGCAAAAAAAAAAAAAAAAAAAAAAAAAAAATGAAAGAAACGCGAGAGGATAGAAGAAGATAAGGACGTTACTGCTGAAACGATACCGGAATACTTGAAAGAAAAAAGAATTCTTCACTCATCGTTTCTACTTTTTCTTTTTCTTCTCTCTCTCTCTCTCTCAATATATACCTGGCGAACCGCAGTTTCTTTGGATTTCTTTCCATCCAAATTATCTCTCAATTCTCGTATAACCTACATCCCTGCGAAAATTGTAAGAGAAGCGGTAAGATATTTTTCACGGATTCTTCAATTCTATCTTGTCTATATTGAAGGAGCCAAAGTTGAAACTGAATGAGGCGTATATTTCAATATATATATAAAAATGTGAATTAGATATTGTCTGTTGGAAAATATGTTTCCGTATAAGAAAAATTCACTTTGAATATAACTCGCAAATAAATTTCTTGATATATTTTTTATTCGAGAAAGATTTTTAAAATAAAAATTTGTTTCTATTCAAAATTTTTTCAAAAAAAAAAATAAAAAAAAAAATGCTATATTTATATGAAAACATGGTCACTTTCAATTCAAGTTCTAACAATATTGGAAGATCGTCAGTTGCATATAGGAGATAAAACTTCAAAGTTTCGTCTCTCTCTCAACTCTGCAAATAACTTTGGTAATTTGGTATGCCATTCTTGTCGATACAACTTTAAGTAAAGGCACATCAAACTTGGATCGACTTTGTTGTTTGTTTCAACCCATATAATATACATGTTGTCAAATGTTAATCAACAGATTGTTTCACTTCATATATTCAAAAAGCAAAATTACATTAATCTCATTTTCAAAAATAAATTTATTAAAACTTTTCTTTTTTTTCGCAAATTTCGGTAAATAAAGGTTTTTGTTATATTTTTAGCTTTTGTTTTTATTTATCATCTTTTTTTTTTCAGCGCGGTAAAAGTTAAAATTTATGCAATTACAACTTTTCCCCCACACACATACATACACAGATAGAGCCTTCTAAAACAAAGTTGGCACGTCACAGTTTCTAGGGACGTGAAATTCCAGGCGCAATATCAGACGCGAATTTATCTGTGGGTTAAAGCGGAACCGGATGTAAGCTCAAAACTGTGAAATCGTATTACTCGATGAATATTCAGTGCGATTTTGTGGTTAAAAGTTTTCGCGCGAAGGGAAAGGGTGCGTCGTATTCTAATTAGGAGAAAAAGTATAGAGAAATATGTCACACGTGCTATTCTCTTTAAAATTCTTTTTCTATATTTTTTTTTTTACGAATAATATTCACGAGTATCTAATCGACTTCAATTTATATCATAATAAATTAATAATAGAATACCATTAATTTAATGATAAATACAAAATTTAACGATTCATTAATAAATTTCATCTCTTGTATCTGTTAATTAACTTAATGACATATAATGAATTTTTAAAAGCGGAATATAAAAACCTTTCAATTATATATATATATATATATATATATATATATATACAGGGAAAATATAATGTAATGAGAAAAATTATTAATTGATAAAACACTGCTTTTAAAATTTCCTTATTAATGAGAACATCGATATCAATTTTATATTACTTTTACGATAAAAATTACAATATAACTGTTTTTTTTTTTTTTTTTTTTTTTTTTATTTTTTTGCACAAAAAATCCGATTAAAAAGATACAATAAAAAATTGAGAACAAAAAAAAGTGTTTTTTTTTTTATTTATTAAAATAAAAGTGTTGAAAAAGGCGATTTTAATTAATAAAGAATAATCCCCCTTTGTGTTATATTACTTTGGATGAAGTATAAAATGCTGATTCATGACAAAGGTTTGAAATGTGAACATCCAAAGGGGGTTGTATTGTATATATAGGGTGTAGGTACTATGATCGATGGCGAACAAGCAAATGAATTTGGGTCATGCAGGAAAAATACATAACTAAGTAATTGCTATTAGAAAGTAAAATTGCATATATGGAAAAAGAAAAAAAAAAAAAAAGAAAATAAAATGAACACGAAGAAAAAAAAAAATTGTTTCCCTTTACATATATTTCTGACACGTTAGAAAAAAAACAAAAAATAATTTTTTAATAATATTTTTTTTTGAATATTCAATATAATAGGTAATAAATAATAAACAATTAAATAATAAAATAATAAAATAATAAAATAATAATAATAATAATAATAATAATTAATAAACAAAATTTAAAATACTTTTTGTAAAAAAGAGGGTTAATTTTCGACACAAAAGTTTAAAGCCGACAAGAGTATAATTTTCACTCTAAACCATCTGACTCTCTCATTTTCTTTGTTTTTTGTTTTGTTTGTGTTTGACTTAAAAGAGAAACACAGTGCGCGGCAAATAATGCAACTGACATATAATTTTGAAAAAAATTAAAAAAAAAAAAAAATGTATAAAAATTATTTTACTTTAAACTTGCCATTGTCACCAAAGAAAACATAATTAATATCATGTCCTTTATTTAAGTTTCAGCTAATTATATAAACTCTCACTATTAGACGCAAAAGTCAAAGCTTTTGAAATTATTCGTTAATCTTTTCATCACTTTCTCTCTCTCTCTCTATATATATGCAAAATTATTTTTCTCTTCATAAATAATAAAAAAAAAACTAATTAAAATATAGTAAATTGATAATATTTCCTAAAAAAAAAATTTTTTTTAGATTAGTAAATTATTTAATAATAATTTACAAATGAATAATAAATATTATTATTTAAATTAATTTATTTCTATAATATAAATCATAGCGAATTTCATTTATAAATTATTTGAAGAGAGAACAAACGTCATACTCCAATTTAGAATGAAATTCCACTCCACCAAAGGGAGTTTAAGAATCTATTTCACCTTTGGGGGTGGAATTTCATTCTACATTGTGAGTTATAAAGGATCATGGCCAAATTATTTATTTCCTTTTCTTTAATGTGATATTTTTTTTTCCCCTCTAATGACCTTTTTTTTGCTATATTTTCTTGTTTCAATGTTAAAAAAAACGTTTAAATAATATATATATATATTATATTTCATTATCTTTGAGTGTATATATATATTCAGCAAAATACACTTCTCTTGAGTTTATATGCAAGTTTCAAAAGCATAACAAGTGAATGGAGTATATTTTCGTGGGGGCAAGAGGGAAGGATATTATGATGAGATAAAAAAGACTCAACATTACGTGAAACGTGAACCTGACAGAAACAGCTCGCTTCTAGAAGAGAAAGATTCGAAGAGCTTTGTGAAGTGTAATTCAGATTATGCAGTGGGAAGTTTTACAGCTCGTTTGCAAAATACGTTTGCCCCCCCCCCCTCCCCTCTCCACACTCTTTCGAGTTCATTTTATACGCCGAGTTTGCAAAGTTAAGCTGTGACGTGAACAACAATTTCTATTGTAATTTCTTCAGGTATCTTCTTTGTGCACTGAACCGCGAAGAACTTAAAACAGTAACTTTTGAAAATCGGAAAACACTCATTCTCTATGTGTGTGTGTCTGTGACTTTTTACTTTCTTTTAAATATTACATAAGATCAAAACTTTAAAATCAAGGAAAAATTTTCCAAAAAACACTCTCTAAATCTGAATTAGTAAAAATGTTTACTAATTTGAATTAGTGACTCACTTTTTGCTTCTGAATGAGTAAAATTTTACTAATTATTCATAACTTTTACTAACAATTAGTAAAATTTAACTAATTCTAAAGCAAAAAGTGAGTCACTTAAATTAGTAAACATTTTTACTAATTTTGGTTGCTTAAATACCAACCAAACGTTTGGTTGTCAATACCAAACCCTTTTTTCAGTGTAGGTAACAATTAATGTATTATTATTAAAAGTTTTAAATATTTATAAATCAAAATTTAATTTAATAAATTTAAATTTAAAAAGAAATTTTAATATAAAAATGATGGAAATAAAAATAGTCTTCTATATAAAGAATTTATAAAATTACTTTTTTCAGAAATCAATAATTTTTATACACATTTTACTGAATCAGTGAATAAATAAAAAATAAATGATATAATTGAATAACCATTGAGCCAATAAGAAATTGTGAATTTTAATCAGTTTTTTGCATGGCATTTTTTTGGCCAGTATTTTTAATAATAATTTTACAATTGTGTTTTATTTTAATAATTTTTACAAATGGCTAATTTTTTCATTTGGTTTACCGATTTTATTTAATTTTAAAATAGAAACGGAAAACAAATATAAAATTAAAGCCATATGTCAAAAATTATTAAAATAAAAATGTAAAATTACTTTTTAAAAAATATTGAATGTCCAAAAAAAAAATAAAACATTACACAAAAAAAAAATATTACAAAATTATGTGCGCTTAAAATTAATATTCTTTTTAATTCATTATATTAATAATTTCAAAATTCGTTATATCAAAAATACATAAAATTTTTTCCAAAAAAGAATATTAGATTGAACAAAATATATAAATATTATTTTTATTTTAATTATTTATAATTTTCTATATTATATATAATTGATTTTTTTTTAATAATAGTAAACAAAAAAATTTGTTTTCAATGTAAAAAAATAATATAACAAAAAAATATTTTATTCAATCTAAGGAAAAATTGATTTTGAATTTATAAAGCAATTTTTTTTTTTTTTTTTTTAATCAAAGACAAAAATTTATCAAATTAGCGTGCGGTAGTAAAATGCTTTCTGTTTGAAGATAAAAAGGAGGACAATGACGACAAAAGAAAAAAAGTTCTTCAAAGAGATGCAACGAAAAAAGGGATATAAAAAGTAAAAAAAAAAAAAAGAAAAAAAAAGTTCACAATCATTTTATAATGGGACATACATT